TGGTTATCTGTGCTACAAAGTGAATCTGATTATATATCAGCTCAACGTGACTGCTTAAGTGTTAATACATGTACACTGGCTGTACACATGGAATACACCCATTGCCTTAGCCAGTGACCTCAAGCTTTCTAGCTAAGACTCGAAACTACCTGTACACATTAATGTCATCAATCTTGATGGTTATCTATGCTACAAAGTGAATCTGATATTATATGAGCTCGTCCTGACTACTTATGTGCAAATACATATACACATGGCTGATAACAGAGAATAGACCAATTGCCTGAGCCAGTGACCTCGGGCTTGCTAGCTAAGGCTTCAAACTGCATGAACACATTAAAGTCATCAATATCAATGGTTATATATGCTACAAAAACAATCTGATATTATTTGAGCTCATCGTGACTACTTATGCGCTAACAAATATACACAAGGCTGTACACAGAGGATAGACCCATTGCCTTAGCCAGTGACCTCAGGCTTGCTAGCTAAGATATCAAACTACATGTACACATTAATGTCATCAATACCTATTGTTATCTATGCTAAAAAGTGAATCTGATATTATACAAGGTCATAGTGACTACTTATATGATAATACACATACACAAAGCTGTACAAAGAGGATTGACCCATTGCCTTAGCCAGTGACCTCAGGCTTGCTAGCTATGACTTCAAACTACTGTACATGTACCTATTAATGTCACTAATACCAATGGTTATCTATGCTACAAAGTAAATCTGATATTATATGAGCTCATCGTGACTGCTTATGTCCTAATACATAAACAAATGGCTGTACACAGAGGATAGACCCATTGACTTAGCCAGTGACGTCAGGCTTGCTAGCTATGACTCCAAACTACATGTACACATTACTGTCATCAATCTTAATGGTTATCTATGCAACAAAGTAAATCTGATATTTTACGAGCTCGTCCTGACTACTTATGATGCTAATACATATACAAATGGCTGTACACAGAGGATAGACCCATTGCCTTAGCCAGTGACTTCACGCTTGCTAGCTAAGACTTGAAACTACATGTACACATTAATGTCATCAATACCAATGGTTATATTTGCTACAAAGTCAATCTGATATTTTATGAGCTCATCGTGACGGCTTATGTGCTAATACATATACACATGGCTTTACACAGAGGACAGACCCATTGCCTTAGCCAATGACCTCAGGCTTGCTAGCTAAGACTTCAAACTACATGTACACATTAATGTCATCAATACCTTTGGTTATTTATGCTACAAAGTAAATCTGATAGTATATGAGCTCATCATGACTGCTTATGTGGTAATACATATACAAATGGCTATACACAGAGGATAGACCCACTGCCATAGCTAGTAACCTCAGGCATTCTAGCTGAGACTCTAAACTACATGTACACATTAATGTCATCAATCTTAATGGTTATCTATGCTACAAAGTGAATCTTGTGTTATATGAGCTCGTCCTGACTACTTATGTGCTAATACATATACACATGGCTGTACATATAGGATAAACACATTGTCTTAGTTAGTGACCTCAGGCTTGCTATCTATGATTTGAAACTTCATGTACACATTAATGTCATCAATACCAATGGTTATCCATGCTACAAAGTCAATGTGATATTATTTGAGCTCGTCGTGACTCCTTATGTGCTAATACCTTTACTCATGGCTTTACACAGAGGATAGACTCAATGCTTTAACCAGTGACCTCTGGCTTGCCAGCTAAGACTTGAAACAACATGTACACATTAATGTCATCAATACCAATGGGTATCTATGCTACAAAGTAAATCTGATATTATATGAGCTCATCGTGACTGCTTATGTGCTATTACATATATACATGGCTGTACACAGAGGATAGACACATTGACTTATCCAGTGACCTCAGGCTTGGTAGCTAAGACTTGAAACTACATGTACACATTAATGTCATCAATACCAAATGTTATCTATGCTACAAAGTGAATCTGATATTATATGAGCTCATCGTGACTGTTTAAGTGCTAATACATGTACACATGGCTGTACACAGAGGATAGAGACATTTCCTGAACCAGTGACCTCAGGCTTGCTAGCTAAGACTGGAAACTACATGTACACATAAATGTCATCAATACCAATGGTTATGTATGCTACAAAGTGAATTTGATATTATATAAGCTCGTCATTACTACACTTGCGCTAATACAAATACACATGGATGTACTGTACAGAGAATAGACCCATTGCCTTAGCCAGTGACTTTAGGCTAGCTAGCTAAGACTTGAAACTACATGTACACATTAATGTCATCAATACCAATGGTTATCTATGCTACAAAGTGAATCTGATATTATATGAGCTCATCATGACTGCTTATGTGCTAATGCATATGCACATGGCTGCAAACAGAGGATAGACCCATTGCCTTAGACAGTGACCTCAGGCTTGCTAGCTAAGACATCAAACTACATGTACACATTAATTTCATCAATACCTTTGGTTATTTATGCTACAAAGTGAACCTGATAATACATGAGCTCATTGTGACTGCTTACGTGCTAATACATATACACATGGCTTTACACAGAGGATAGACATTTTGCCTTAGCCAGTGACCTAAGGCTTGCTAGCTAAGACTTGAAACTACATGTACACATTAATGTCATCAATACCAATGGTTATCTATGCCACTAAGTGAATCTGATATTATATGAGCTTGTCCTGACTACTTATGTTCTAATAAATATACACATGGCTGTACACAGAGGATCAACCCATTGCCTTAGGTATGGACATTAGGCTTGCTAGCTAAGACTTCAAACTACATGTACACATTAATGACTTCAATACCAATGGTTATATATGCTTTAAAGTGAATCTGATATTATATGAGCTCATCGTGACTACTTATGTCCTAACAAATATACATGTGGCCGTACACAGAGGGTAGACCCATTGCCTTAGCCAGTGACCTCAGGCTTACTAGTTAAGACATCAAACAACATGTACACATTAATGTCATCAATACCAATGGTTTTCTGTGCTACAAAGTGAATCTGAAATTATATAAGCTCGTCCTGACTGCTTATGTGCTAATATATTTACAGATGGCTTTACACAGAGGATGGACCCATTGCCTTAGCCAGTGATCTCAGAATTGCTTGCTAAGACTCGAAACTACATGTACACATTAATGTCATCAATACCAATGGTTATCTATGCTACAATGTTAATCTGATCGTGACTACATATGTGCTAACCAATATACACATGGCTGTACACATGGGATACACCCATTGCCTTAAACATTGACGACAGGCTTGCTAGCTATGACATCAAACTACATGTACACATTAATGTCATCAATACCAATGGTAATCTATGCTAAAAAGTGAATCTGATATTATATAAGCTCATAGTGACTACTTATGCGAGAATACACATACACAAGGCTGTACAAAGGAGATAGACCTATTGCCTAAGCCAGTGACCTTAGGCTTGCTAGCTATGACTTTAAGCTACATGTACACATTAAAGGTATTGGCTTTGTACAATAGCAAAAATTTACCAAGTGGTTCTTTGCTATCCTTCAGTCCATTCTCAGCAACACTTTTAAAAGTGTTGCAGGATGCAGTTCTTATTGGTCTAGTAGTCATCTAAAAGAAAAAGAGGAATAGAAGAGATTTGCTTTGTGATCACAAATGAATCTGATAAGAGACCACAAAAAGATTGATAAGCCTTTGTGGTTAAGATAACAGTTTGTTTACACAAAAAACACATGGTAACATGTGACCTAACTGTATAGTGTAAACTGAGAGTACTAAGAGGTACCACATCTCACCTTTAACTGTCTGATCTTCTCTTGCAAACAAACAAGCAGCCAGCTGCCTTCCTTCAATTTGAATCTAACTACTAAGTAGTAAAAGTGCGTGGGCGTCTGTGTACACGCCAGTGTGTCATTCTATGTGTTTAAACTTTCTAAACTTGTTTTTTGTGCAAAGAAAAGTAATTCTGGGCTTTATCTAACTTCCTTCTTACATTATCTAAAGATTTAAGCCGTTAGCTAGTGAATCTAAGACCGAGAAACAGTAGTTATGTAGTTACACTAAAAAGTAGGCTTGCTATAGACCCCCTGCAGTAGGCGTGGTCAATGTGTAGGCGTTTTATGTCGGCCATGTTGGTGTACATGTGTTGCATGCAATGACTGCAAGAAACATAGCTTTTTGCCAGGATACTTTTCCTCTCTGAAAAATCATGATGCCAGGAAGCAGTACCAAGAAAAATTCTCTAGTATTAATGGATTGGATCCTTATGAAACATTGAGAAGTGATTGGTCGACCTCATCAGGCTCAAAATGACTATGCTAAAATGCTTTTTATGCTTTTGGATTTTTAGTTAAGATAATTTTAGTATTAAGGCTACTCCACAAGTTGGTGCTAGACCCTCAATACTGCACAAATCTCTATATGCATGATTTTCATTGTTCTCTAGATTAGTGTGTTGTAAAACATAATAATATAGATGGTATATGCATGCATAATAATAATAATAACATAGATGGTATGCATCCAGCCCAAAATTTTTTTGGGCTGGATAGGTGAGTGAAATTCTTGTTACAGCTCCAAATGACAAATTTAGAATTGTTATTGCTAAGGTAAGTCAATTCAGTAGCAGTCAAGTTATGCTAATGCTCTATGGGTAAACCATTCTATGCCGGAGAATTATTGATCCCATGGATAATTGCAGAGAAGGATAGAAAGATTGTAGCAGGTCATTGTGACTGCATGGCAGGTCTTGGAGATACCTGCTCACATATAGCCTCTCTATTGTGGGCTATTGAGTGCACGGTGGTATATAACTCAAGTTGTCATGAATCAACGGCTGACTGTGACACAAAAGAAAACAGCTTATTGGGTAATTCCAAATTCAGTTCAATGTGTGCCATATACCACAGTTAATAACATGAGTTTTCTTGGGAAGAAAAGGAGTCATAGCATTTTCTTTTCTTGCTCCTCATCATCATGATCATCATGTACTATCACCTGGCATTGCCATCTGCATGTATTTCAACATCAATGACAAATCTTGTT